TTATCTACCCCCTTAGTACCTCCTTTTCCTCATCTTAAAATTGGGACCATAAAACTCAGCTTATAAGGATATGAGGAGTAAATTAAATCATATATGTAAATACATGAAAAAAATGTTCAACATCTTTGACCATTAAAGAAGTCAGATAGTAACAAATGCTGGCAAGGCTGTGAGGAAAAAGGAACTTTCCTTCTACATTATTGATGGGAATGTAAACTAGTACAACCATTACAGAGATCAGTATGGAGATTCCTCAAAAAACTAAAATTAGAAATTCCATTCATCCCAGCTGTTCCCGTTCTACGTATCTTCATTAAAGAGTTAAAGACAATCACAGTGATACATGTATACCCTTGTATATAGCAGCACAATTCATAATAGCTAAGTCTTGGAAACGGGCTATATGTCTAGCAACAGATGGTTGGTTAAAGAAAATGGGATATTTATACACAATGGCATACTACTGTGCAATAAAGAAGGATACATTTGATAAATTATTTGAGCAGTGAGAAAAAGCTAGGTGAAGAAAATGAATAATCTGCCTGACTCATAGTTGGACTGCCTCTGAGAAATCTCAGTGGAAATCTTCCCTTGTAGATATAATAATATACTCCTGAGAGATATTTGAGCAGAGAAGGTACAGATTTGGGAGACATTAGCTTAAACATAGCAGTAAACATGAAAATATATGGTTCAGTTACTCTGAAGAGCATAGGAATTTTAGAGGGGAGAAGCATGGCAAAGATGTTGACACCAGAGTGGTCAGAAGAGAAGAAAGAACCCTAGTGGTAAATAGATACTAGTGGAACACAAGAAGAGCATTTCAGGAAGAGAATGGGATTAGCAGCTCTCGCGAGTTGGAGTAAGAGGAAGTTGAAGGTATCTTTGGGTTTACCAAGAAAGAAGTTACTTACTTTGTGATTTTTTTTAACAAAGTGATGAGATGGACCCCTAATTTCAGTAATTTAAGAAGAGAATGAAAGATGAGGAATAAAGGAAACTAGAGTGGATAAGTCTTTTAAGAATGTGATACAAATTTAGATTTAAATGCTGATTTAAAAAGAAAAAGCAGGGGAAGAAGAACTAACAAAGAAGGGGTTTCTGGAAAGGCAGGAAGGTAGCCCGGAGAGTCCAGTTTGAAGAAGAATGGAGTAATCAATAATATCAAATGCAGCAGAGCAGTGCTGTAATGCTGATTGAGAAAACACACATTGGATTTGGCCATTAGAAGCAAGTCTTGTGAACCAGAAGCTGGTTCCTGTAAGTAGAGCACTTTGTTATCGAGAATGGATGTGCTCTGATCAGAACAGTACTTTTTTTATTTTTCTGGCAGCAGCTTTTTGTTTTTGTTGTTTTTCTTCTGGAATGGTTTATTTGGGCTAGTAAATGCACAAAGTAACAAGTTCCTGAATCAGAGTAATGATCTTGGTAATAGATGGTAAGATAAATGCCAGATCTCTTATGCCTAGCACCTTTATAATTCAGCAGTTGCTCAATACAGTGTATAAAGAAAGTAGCCTGAAAAATGGCATTTTAAGGTTTTAAGTGTGGGTAGTAAGGAGAGTAGGAGTAGCGTTTACCAAAGTGGGCATTTAGAAGCAAGACTGAAAGATGAATGATCTTCTAAAAAAATTTTAAAATGTTTTATTATTTATTAAACTTGTCTTACTGAATAGCTGCTATGTATTCGGCACATTCTCCCTGGAACTATGTGTTTGTTCCACATGCTATTGATATAGCAGTGAACATAACAGGCAAAGTCCATATTTTCATGGCATTTAACGTTCAGAGTGGGCTGAAGACAGGGAAAAATATGGTGAAAGAACAAGGTAATTTAAGATAAAACTAGGTGATGGTACAGAGATGGACTAAAGGAAACTACTTTTAGATGGTATGATCAAGAATGGCACTTCTGAAAAGAAAAGATTTGAACACCGACTAGAATATTATCAGAGAGCCAACTATGCAAAGATCTGGGTGCAAAGACATTCCCTACTCAGACTGGAGAGTATGTGTTAAGGCCCTAAGAAAGAAATGACTATTTATTTATGGATAGAAGAATATCAGGAGCAGAATGAGCAAAGGAGAGACTAATACAAGATGAGATCCAAGACATGAGTAGAATTAGTAGTCTTGCAGCTCTTGCTATGGATTTGGTGGTATGTTGGTACCAGTGGAAAAGAAAAGAAGGTAGTATGTTGAACCTTACCTGTTTGTGACACATCTGGGTGAAGAGCTAAGCATGAACAGGCTAAGGTATATATACTCAAATATAATTTGCCTATATTAATTATTGAAATAACTTGCCAAGTTGTTTAGACGCTGAACAAGTAAGTGCTCATAATACAGGGACTTGAGTTTGTCAAAAACTGCAAAGGATCTGAGGAACCAGGAGTCCTTTGCAGTTCTTTAATATGATGGTCATCTTAAATATCACTGCATACTGAAAGGAATGACCAACTATTGTGTGAACAATAGCTGGAAAAATTATGGCCCAAAAGTATGACTTCAGGAGATGTGAAAAATATTCCCATCTTTAAATATCTGCATTTCTATAGGTATAGTACCATGCTGTAAAGACTAGTCTCGTTCACATGGACCTCCCCATTTTCAAAATTGTGTGTGTTGTTGTTTTCAGTAAACAGTGAGTGTATGTGTCGTTGTACTGTATACTTTGAGGTGCACAAGTAATAGTTTGTCACAATCATCTTTAAGGGATTGTTTACAGAATATTTAAAATTTTTATGTTTTCAAAGATACATAGAGGCATAATAACGATAGATTATATTTATTATGTTGCTTTATAGTTTATTATGCCTTTGCCCACAAATAATCAATTTGATATTCACAAAAAACTTTAAAATAGGTAACATGACAGGAATTTTAGGGAGGTCAGTGTTATTTTAGAGATGAGAAACAGGATCTTTTAGTGTACAGTCATGAATTAAGAACTTCTGACTTCATTTATGTTGCCTTAACATTTCATGGTGACTCAAGGGTGAATAAACTTCAGAAGAGGAACTAAAATATGTGTTCTTACTAAAACAGTAAGCAATATATATATATTTATCCTCCCCACCATGATGTTTCATAGAGTTGACCCTCAGTATCTGTAGGTTCCACATCCTACGGCCGTGATGGCACACCTTTCAGAGCTTTCAGTGCTAGCAAATAGCCCCCAGAGGCGTGTGTGCCATAGGTTCACCACCACTGTCCTAGGATTTAACTAATGGCAGATGAAAATATTCAGAGAAAGAAATAAACTGTGCTGAACACACACAAACTTTTTTCTTGTCATTATTCCCTAAACAGTACAGTATACAACTACTTACGTAGCATTTACATAGTGTTAGGCATTGTAAGTAGTCTAGAGGTGATTTAAAGTGTGGGGTATGTGCTTAGGTTGTATGTGAATACTACGTTTTGTGTAAGGGCCTTGAGCACCTGTGGATTTGGGCATTGAGGGAGATAGGGTCCTGGCACCCCAGTCCTTTGGGGTGCTGAAGGGTACCTGTATTTGTATTTTAGTCTTGGGCACTCCCAAAGAGTTGAGAGTCCTGTGGGCACAAAAGAAGTTCAGGTAACTTTGGCTAGGAGAGTCACACATTTAAGTTTGTTTAAAAGAGTGAGTGCTCTTTTCTTAACTGATAATTTTTTTTTTCTTGGCTGCTCTATATGTTTAAGGTACTGCAAGTACAGTTTTAAAATAAACCCTTTTATTTTACTCTCAGGAGCCACATGTACATTTCTGCTAACATATTTTATCCTTTACTGCCACTCAACTCAATGGAAACCAGTGGTAACAATAGCTAATGTTTAATGAATAATTGTGTGCCATGAACTGTGGGAAGGGATTTGTAAGTATTTATATCAACTCTCTGAGATGGGAGCATCCCTTCACAAATTAGTTTTTTAAGTCCATTTACATATTTGGCATTCCCATACCTGATAGAAGAATGTAAAATTGTATGGAAAAAATATTGTAAGGCAATACCAGTTACAGTCCAAGATAAAGTTATGACATGTAAGTAGATACTTTTGGTTATAGCATTATTTATCGTGTTTTTTCCCTAAGTGAAGCTGAACCTGAGAGATGAAGTCTTAGCTATAAATCATGAGTGAATAAAGTAATATTACCATGAATGTCTTTTTTATTATGGTGATGGTATGTAACAGTCATTGCTGGTTTTGTATTTTTAAAAAAACACTTAACTCTGTGCACACTTTAAAAAAAATGACTCATCAATAAATAATTAAAACAGTTTAATTTAAACAATTCAGAGATGAGAAACATCCATAAAACTTAATCCTTTGTTGAGTTACTTTTCACTCCTGTAATTTTCTTGGCGTGAATGAGTTATGAGTTATGTTGTTTACTGTGGAAATAGTAATAGTACTTTATATTTATATACCATTTTTCCTCTGAGGATCTCAGAGTGCTTTTCAGTGTCTCATTAATACTCATAGTACTTCAGTGAGTTATGAGGTTGACAGGTACTTTGAACTTTTATTTTCCAGATGGAAAGATAAATTAAGTTACAAAGAGGGTCAACTGATTTATGTATGGTCCCTTCAACTAGAGAAAGAGGCCATTAGCTGGGCACAGTGGCTCACCATGGTAACCCTAGTTACTTTGGAGGCTTAGCCAGGAGGATTGTGAGTTTGAGGCTAGCCTATTTAGCAAGACCCTGTCTCAAAATATAATTTTTAAAAAGGATTGGGGATGTAGTTCAGCACTAGAGTGCTTGCTTGCCTGACATATATAAGGCTCTAGGTTCAATGCTTAGTACCATTTAAAAAAAGAAAAAGGCACCTGAGCTACTAAGTAAGAGTATTTTAGGATGGTTGGTATAATACAAGTCATTTACATTCTGCTGTTACATTACACAGATTATTAGAACAAACGTAATAGCTTTACAATGGCCACATGGAATTTTTTTATTCTTTCTTTGGGAACATAAAACATTATAATTCTCTTTCCTGTTTTTCTTCCTTTTTAGGTCAGCAGCAAGGGCAAGATGGAGTGAAAGTCCAGCAAGCTACGATAGCTCCTGTGACAGTGGCAGTTGGAGGAATTGCTAATGCGACAATAGGTGCTGTTAGTCCTGACCAACTCACACAAGTGCATTTGCAGCAAGGCCAGCAGTCTTCCGATCAAGAGGTGCAACCTGGCAAGAGGCTTCGAAGAGTTGCCTGTTCCTGTCCTAACTGTAGGGAAGGAGAAGGAAGGTAAATGATCTGTTTTCAGCTGTTGCCCTCTGGAAGGCATAAAATAGTAGGTAAAATGAAGTCATTGATAATTGGAACTTCACCACCTTTGGAGCCCAGAAGTTAAAATATATTATGAAGGGAATTAAGTCTGGCTGTTCGAGGAGTGGGATTTCCTCTGCTTTTGTACCTCATGTATTTTTTGTTTTTTTTTGGTACCGGGGATTGAAACCTCATGTATTTTTTAATGAATTTCTTCTTTCATTTACTTTGTAAAAAACTTTAAACATCTTATTGATATAAAACTAGCTCACACATATCATTAATCCATTTAAAGTGTAAAATTCTGTGATTTTTAATATATTCCCAGAGTTGTATAGTCATCACCACAGTTAGTTTTAGAACATTTTAGTCATCCTCAAAAGAAATCTTGTATCCTTAAGCCATCAATTTTCACCAACTCCCCAACCCTCACAACCCTAGGCAATCACTAAAATAATTTCTGTCTTTGTAGATTTGCCTGTGTAGATTTGCCTGTTCTGGACATTTCATATAATTGGAGTCATGCAATATGTGGTCTTTTATGATTGATTTCTTTCATGTAGCATGACATTGTCAAGGTTCAGTCATACAGCATGATGGATACTTAATTTCCTTTTATGGATGCATAATATTCCATTATGCAGATATAAAGCATTTTGTTTAATTTGCTTCTTCTTTTTCACTCCACAGGAGTTTTGGGTTTTTTTCTTCTTTTTTCTCTTTTTGCCTAATTACTAGGTGTAGAACCTCCCATATAATGTTCAATACACGTGGCAAAGTGACAAAAGTATACATCCTTTATTTTTTCTTGGGCAAGGCATCTAGTTCCTCACCATTGAGTACAGTGTTAGTTCTGGGGCCCTTAATCGAGTTGAGAAAACTCCCTTCTCTTCCTGTTTTGCTGAGTATATCATGAGGGATGCTTGATTGTATCAAATGCTTTCCTGCATTTGTTATGATGATCCGATGATTTTTATTTTTTGTTCTACCAATATATGTTACGTTAATTGTCACATGTTTCAATTTTGCATTCCTAGGATAAATCTTTTGGTCATGATGTATAACTCATTTTATATATTGCCAGATTCAGTTTGCCATATTTTCTTGAAAATTTTTGCATCTGTACTCATGGGATATATTAGCCTATAGTTTTCTTTTCTTTTCTTGTAATATGTTTTATCTAGTTTGGATGATGGTAATGCTCTCAAGTCAGAGTTTGGAGCAATGGTACGTTTCTCTCTGGGTGACCCTGTTTTAGGAGCTGTATGCTTGATGACAGGGCCATCAGTAGCCTCGGATCTTCTCATATTGTTTCCCCCAGCTTAGAAACTCCTAGTTATGAACCAAGAATGAAGCGAGACAAGAGCATTCCAGACCATAGCATTTCATCGTGCCATATCCAAGATAGAGGATGTGTCCCAGATTTGAGGGCTACATGGAAGCAAGGAGGCACTACTTTTCAGCCACATTGACCTGGAACACGTAGCTGGGATTAGCATGAGAAATACCGTGTCCACCCCTCCTGGGGAGATAGCCCTCTAGCTGAGAGGTGGGAGAAGGAGCCCTGTTTTTCTGTGCCCTCTATAATGCGCCTGTGGCATAGTGATGAGAGGAAGTGAGTCTTGATACAAATACCACACTCTTACTGTTTTTCCCCAGTTCTGTTAGATTTTCTTTAGTAAGTGTGTTTCTTTATTTGCTGTTATTTGCTCCTACAACCATTTGAGAGACTTGTTTTATAATTTTCACCAGCTTTGCTGGAAAGCAGGTCCATGAAACTCCTCATACTGTCTTGCTGGAAATGAAGCTCTGCACCTTACACCTTTAACTGGAGTTAGCCATCTTTTGGTATTTTAACAAGAATGTTAAAATGTCTTGAAAAGCTTAGAGATTTTTTTTTCTCTTATTTTTTAAGCTAACAGAAGAGCCTACTAGGGAAGGAACTTGAATTGCCTCATAGACATAAACAATGAAATTAACACATTTTCATAGCAGATTTTTTAAACACAGAGATCTGTTTTATGTTTTCTTTAATTGAAATTTTTTTTACTGTAACTGCAGTTATGGCATTAGGATCAAACAGATCTATTCAGAAAAGCACATTTAATTACCTTGATTTCCCTTTTTTCATAATTATAAGCTTAGTCTGGGGAGTGTAATTAATGTTTGTTTTTTGTTTTCGTTAGAGGCAGTAATGAACCAGGAAAAAAGAAACAGCATATCTGTCACATTGAAGGATGTGGAAAAGTTTATGGCAAAACATCTCACCTACGAGCACATCTCCGCTGGCATACTGGAGAAAGACCTTTTATATGCAACTGGATGTTTTGTGGCAAGAGATTCACAAGGAGTGATGAGCTTCAGAGACATAGAAGAACCCATACAGGTTAGTAGGTTTATTTTAGGACTTGTACTTTTTAACTAATTTTTTCGGTACTCAAATGAAAGTTTTCATGATAGTTTAGCGATGAAATTAGAAATATACAGTTTAAGGGAACAGAATTTACTTTAGCAATTACACAGATGTTGAAAATTAAAAATTTTTACCTCATTTCTGAGGTACGTTTTACTCACTGTAAACTTTAAAATTACCATCTTTACATGACCTGAAATTTGTCCCATTTGCTTACCTTTGTATACTTAGCAAAGTGTTTAAATAGATAAAAAGAAAACAGAATTATGATCTTATTGGTAACCTTCATTAGTTTTGTATTACAAATACCCACTTAATTCTCCCTCAGAATTGACAGTTGTGAATACTGTATTTTCTGTTACTTTTTAGAAAACAAATCATTGATAAAGCCAATATTGAAGATAACAACTGCTGTGAATTTAAAGTGTCTGAGTTTTTAGTACATTTTTAGTATCCTAACACATATTACTCATGGGTCTCTATAAAAATAATATTTTGTTTTGGTTATGAAATATTACATAAATAATATGTTGCAGAATCATAATTTCACTATTTTTTTAGATAGTGAGTCCAGTAACATGTATTTCTTTTAACAGCGATACAATATTCTGTTGCATGACTCTACCACACTGTATTATCTGTTTCCTAGACTTTTGAGCCACTGGCATAAATTTGGGGCTGTAAATATAAGGTGAACATATATGAGAAATGGAATTATTGGATCATAGACATTGTATATATTTGGTTATGCTAGCTAATAGCTAAGCAGTCTCCAAGGTGGCTGTTATAGTTTATTTCAACAGCAGTGATTAGCAGTTTCTGTTTTACTGCGTGCTTACTTCTTAGTGTTAGGCTTCAAAAGTCTATCTAAAATTTCTGTTTTTAAAATTTACATTTTTCCTGATTATCAGTGAAATTAAGCATCTTTGCGTGTGGTCATTTACAATGTATTTCTTTTTCTGGTCATTATTCTGTTGTTTTTCTTTTCAGTTATTTACAATTTTGGTCTTTTAACAGTCTGGAGTTTTTTTGTTGTTTCGTTTTAATTATGAAATGAATTGGGTCCATAATTTTATTTTTCTTCATATGGACAGCCATTTCTTGACCAACTCATTCTTTCTCTACTGATTTGTAATAACATTTCTCTCCAAATTCTCTGAGGCTTTTACCCACTTGTCAGTTCCTATACTAATGCCATACTGTATTATTTTGATTACCACGGGTTTACATTGTTATTACATCTGGTAGGGCAGTTTTCATATTTTTTGTTAATTTAGAACATGCCCAAGACATATTCAGTATTTAAGTACTGCATATATTAATTTAAGCTATTGAATTAGATTTTAATTTGTACTAATGTATATGAAGAATACAGTGGAAAATAGAACTGGCATTTTTTGATCAGCTACTGTGTATCAGATTTTCACAGCAATACTGTAAGATAGGAATTAGCTCCTTTGATAGAAAATAGTCTCAGAAAAGAAAAAAAAATAGTTGTCAAATCTATTAAAAATGCTAAGTAAAGAATTATCTAATCGATATGTATATAAGTACTAACACAAATGAATATTAGTATGTTGATTCTGTCTCTGTAAAAGTTGATATTATAATAAAGCTATGAATTTTAATTTTTAAAAAAGTTTTAAAGCCTTTCTGTACGGTATTACATGGAGTTTCTAATGCCGCCTTACTTTTTGGCATTGTCAAATATGATGTGATTAAAAATTAATTCCATAACAATGTTGTATCTATTCTAGAAAAATATTCTCTCTGTGTCCATAGGAGAGTACAGTTTTCATCCTGGATTAGCAGTGGGACAAGTTCAGGAAGCCAACAAAAATTACTGCTTTGTTTGATTTGGAACTTCACATTGTGATTGCATCATTTCGTCTGAGAAATGATGAGTTTGTACAGTTCCTCAGTATCATACAGCCACACTCTTACAAATACACAAAGTAAATTAACTGATCTATGTACATATACTTCAAAAACCAAATTGTAATAGTTTTAAGAACTGTCTTTTTCATGCAGTCCATACCATTATCATCATCTAATAGCTTGATAATTCACTCACGTGTACTTAAATTTATAAATGCTATTTTCAGAGATGTTAAAATCTTTGAAACTAAACTAAACTTTTTAGTGTTTATTAAATTTGTTGAAAATGGCATAAAAAAACTTTTGAAATAAGTATTCATTAGCATTGGGTATATTAAGTTGAAAGTCTTGACCATTCATGGCAAGAACTATTTTTATTCAGTGTCCTATCCATTACTGTCAATAGAAACACACTGACTTAATATGAATAAATGAGTTAGTTCTAGTCACTGCTAAAAATAGTGACGATATCTTTCTTTTTTTTTTTCCAGAGTTCCAGGGATGGAACTCTGGACCTTGCACTTGCAAGGCAGGTACAGTGCCACTGAGCTAAATCCCCGGCCCATGATGCTATCTTTCTAAAAAAAAAGATTAGGTTTTCAAAATGATGCATCTAAATAATATACTAGTCCGTTATTCCTCCTTGCTAGATCAATGTTAACCACTATGACTTTTTGCATCAAGAGTTAAGAATTTACTTTACATTGTGCCCTTTGAAGACACTGATTGTTTTATAAAACTGTTTGCAGGCCAAACATTACTTCTTGATTCACTGCTCAACAACAACAACAACAATAATAATAATAATAATAAAGTTTTGTTTTTACCTCTTCTGTCACATAGAAGTTTGCTTTCTCTTTGTCTTAAAGTTAAAATGGTTATTTTCTTCAATAAGCACTAATCTGTTTTTATAGCTTAGTTATTAAAATTGAAAATTAGTAAATAATTGCATATGAACATGTAGGTACGTCATTACATTTCCTATCTTATATGGTTTCTAATTTCTTTTATTTTTTCCTTATATCATCTAGCTTTATCATCTCCTTTAGTTATTTCACATTTTCAAGAATAGTGTAAACTTCATTCAGTTTCTTCTTATTCCAGAGCTTTCCATGTTTCTGTTTGGCCATGGACTGATTCTTCCAACTGTAATCTTGAGGCTTTTCTTGCCTATTTTCATTTCTCTTACTTTACTCCCTTGGTTGCTGGAAAACATTCTGAAATACTTCCTAATGGGAAAATAAGTTTGTCTGAAAAGTTCATTTTTTCACTTAATTGGGCTGATTCTAGATTGCAGATTATTTTAACTGCATTGCTTTTTTGCCTTCCTGCATCTGTTTTACCAGTGATGAGTATTTTATTTTTGTAGGTGACCTTATTTTTTCCCCTACAACTATATTTATCTATTACTTTTATTTTGAAATAAATCTGCTCTTCACAGAAAAGTTTACAAAGATAGTATAGTTTTCATATGCCCCTTACCAAGCTTCACATAATGCTAACTTGTTATATAACCACAGTAACTATATTATTAAACCAGAGAATTACTTTTTCTTTTCTAGGATTAAATCTAGACTAGCACATTGCATTTATTCCTTATGGCTCCTTAGGCTTCTGCAGTCTTTTTCTTTTTTCTTTTCTTTTCCTTTCCCTTCCCTTCCCTTCCCTCCTGCCTTCCCTTCCCTTTCCTTTACCCTTTCCTTCTCCCTTCCCTTCCCTTCCCTTCCCACCCCACACTTTTAACAAGTACTAGATTTGATATTTTGTGGAATGTTCCTCAATTTGGATTTACCTAATGTTTTCTCATGATTAGACTAAAGTTACAAATTGTTAAGGAAGTATATGAAAGATGTTAGTGCCTTTCTCATTGTATCATATAGGAAGGACACTGTGTGGACATGTCTTACTAATCTTGATGATTTCGTTAAGAGCGTGGGCCAGTAACTAAAGCTAGTAGGATTTTTTTCCATATTCTATTGGTTAGAAGCAGGTCTTTCGGTCCTTTCTCAAGGGGAAGAGAATTAATGTCACTCCTTGACGGGGGGGGGAGATTATCAGAAGAATTTGTGAACACATGTTAAAACAACCACAGTAATTAATAAATATGTTGAAGTTTGGGGGACTGTTTTGTGACTATGCAAATAGACTATTTCTCTTTAAAGAAAAATACTGAGGTTCACTTTTATAGCATTCATCTTGCCTGCAGTCATTGCTACTGTGGGGTTCCAAAGGTCTGTTTCCTTCATTCCTTATATAGTTTGTAATTGGGATTTTCATGGAAAAAAAGTTAGACCTTCTTGTATTTATTTATTTATTTATTGCTCAGTTTCTTTGTTTAGTCATTTATTTACATTAGTCTACATCCTTATGTTGGACTCAGATTGAATTTTTTAAAAATGTCTTACAACATTTTCTTCGTTAACCCCTTTGTCACTTTCTCTTTTTGTTTTCTGTGAGATTCCTTGACTCTATAATTAAATATTTCTATTTTTTATTTCTAAGAGTTTCATTTTTCCTTTTTTACTGAGTGCTGTTCTTACTGCATGAATGTAGGCATTTGCTGAAGATACCTGTTTTTCATCTATTACAATTTTTTTTCCCACACTCATGTTTGCTCTGAGGTAGTTTTTTGTGTCTGGCTTCTCCTGTGTTGTAGGCTCTCCTGAGCTGTCCAAGGTACTTTTTTGTTCAAGTTGTTGGTGATTGATGAATATGTTTTAAGTGAAAGATTTTAAAAATTTATTATAAGCTGGTAGCTTTCATTTTAAGGCAGTTGGCTTGGGCACTGTGTTAACATGGGAAGATGCCTGATAACTAAAGTACAGTAATATCTGTGGGACTCCATTTCATTAGATACAAATCTTCAAATACTTTGTCCCCTTTTTTTATTTGGATGATAGGAGTATATTCTATGTGCAGGCTTTAATTTTCTGTCTTATCCTCCCTGTGTCCCTTTCATTTTGAATCCCAATTTTTATAGGTTTCTCCAGAAAACAAATTGGCTCTCTTCTTTGAGAATCCCTGTTCTACTTTCCACAAATGCTATGTAGTCATTATCTTGTTGACTTCCTTTCCTTCTCTTTTTGTTGCTGTAGGTTT